TGTTGGTCACTGTGTTCCTTACCCAGGGCCCCTGTAACAAAATACCGCAAACTGGGCGGATTAAAACAACAGAATTGTTGTCTCTCGGTTTTCCGGTTTTCCGGAGGCCAGAAGACCACATTCAGGGTGTCAGGTGGGCCACGCTCTCTCCGAAGGCTTCAGGCAAGATCCTTTCTTATCTCTCCTAGCTTCTGGTAGCCTCAGGCTCTCCTTGGCTTGAGCCAACCAGACTCCAACTTCTGCCTGGGTCTTCAAAAGGCCATCATTCCTTTGTCTCTCCTCTTTTTTAGGGAAACCACTCAAACTGGATGAGGACCCACCCGACACCATTGAGACCTTATGCTAGTTTAACCGATAACATCTTCAAAGACCCTATTTCCAAACAAAGTCATGTTTGCACAGGGATGTGGACTTCAACATATCTTTTGAGGGGACAATTTCAACTCCTAACAGTCACCGTGGCATAATTTAGCCTAACCTGACTGATACAGTTGCTAAACCAGATTTAGAGAGAGCCTGTTATGTCGTTATTTACCTGCTCCATGATCACCGTTTGATCCTCTGCAAACTTAAGCCCTTGGCAGTTTTTAGATCAGCCAGACAGCCTGCTTGTGACTGAACTAGCTTTGGAACGTCGTCACCCACAAATCCGATGATCCCAGAGTCTCTGGGGTGTCTGTGTTCAGTTGTCTTGCCAGTTCTTGAGAACTTTCTGAAGTCAAGCCTTGCGAACAGACGCTTCCTAACAAACCGCCGTGTGTGTGAGGTTCGTGGACCGGGGTACATCTTAGTGAGCAGTGTACGTGGTCATGTTAGTTGGTTACAGAGGTCACTGGGGACCGCAGAGATGCTTGAAAAGAACGTCTCGGCCAGCTGTGCTGTCAGAGAAGCCCACCGGGGCCTCTCCTCAGGTTAGGCCAGCTCCCCTAATAAGCCTTTACCTCTACACGGCATGACCTCAGCGAGCTACTTTGCTGCGCCTTCAGCTTATTTTCCTCAGACTGACTCCAGAGTGGAACACTATTTGTCCAGCTCCCAGAACCTTCCCTGCTGTCCCTGAAGAGAAGCACTTACAATTGCTAATTTCTTCAAGTAAACAGGCAAGGATAAGAAAAATACCAAGTATGGGGGGGGATTGGAAGGTTCCAGATTCTTACAAAATCTGTCCGGTTAAAATCCCTGGTCTACATGGATTTCTGCTTGCCAAATGTCTGAGACTGAGTGCTATGGATTGACTTGTGTACCCCCAAAGTTATGTGGTAGTCCAAACCCCCGTACTTGTGAATGTGACCCTATTTGGAATAGGGCCTTTGAAGATCGTATCAGTTAACATGAGGTCATACTGAAGTAGGGTGGGTCCTAGACCACTGGGAACGGTGTCTTATGAAAAGAGAAAACAAACACGGAGAGAATATGGTGGGGGATGCCACGTGACAATGGAGGCAGATGCATCTATAAGCAGAAAGGAACGCCAAGGACTGTGGGCAGTCCCCAGAAGCTAAGAGAGAGGCCCAAGAAGGCATCAACAGATTTGAGATCCTGGCTTGGAATCTCAGCCTCCAGAACTGTCAGAAAATAAATTTCTTTGCGGCATTTTGTTATGGTAGCACTAAGAAACTAAGACATGGAGGTTCCCAAATTCCTCCCTCCTGGTAGAAGGGCCTTAAACCAAAAAAAACCAAACCCAAACCGACAGCCGTCAAGTCAGTTCCGACCCACAACAACCCCACAGGGTTTCCAAGGCTGTAAATCTGCGGAAGCAGACTGCCACATCTTTCTCCCTCGGAGCTGCTGGTGGTTTTGAGCTGCCGACCTTTGGGTTAGCAGTCAATCGCTTCTACCTCTGTGTAAGGCGAAAAGGAGAAGGTCCATTCAGCAAAAACAAAGGGAAGCGGTTGAGATAACCACCACCACCAGATTAACCATGCCATCTCATCCCAAGACGCATTCTCCTCCTCATCCGTTTGTGGTGTTACGGCGCCATCATCCTTGGAGTCACTTCCAAACTTCTTACCTCCCTCAATCCTTATATCCGATTGGCTGCGACGTCATTCCACTTTTATCTCCACCGTAAGTCCTCCATCTGTTCCTTCTGTCCCATTTGCTGTGTCGTGGGCTATGTTCCTGCCCTCACCTCTCACCTGGATGACTACAACAACCCTCTGGGTGACCTTTCTTGAGACTCCCTCCCATACAGTGTCATCATTTGAACCGCCCTGGAGAACGATGCTCTGAACACGGCCATCCCTGGCTCCAAAACCTTCATTCAGTTCCCATTGCCTTGAGAATAAAGTTGAAATTTCTAAGTCAAGTATGCAAGGTTTTCATTACCTGGCAGAGGATATGAGACAGAGAGAGAGAGAGATTAGATTCCTGTATTAGTTTCCTGGGGCTGCCGCACAAATCACCACAAACTGGGTTGCTTAAAATGACAAAAATGTATTCTCTTTCTATTCTGGACGCTAGAGGTTCAAAATCAAGATGTTGACAAGGCCATGCTGCCTCTGAAGGCTCGTCTGAGCGTCTCACGGCCCCAGGTGTTCCTCGGCTTGTAGCTGTATCGCTCCAATGCCTGCCTCTGTCCTCACATAGCTTTCTTCTGTGTGTCCAAGCTGCCCTCTCCTTTCTCCTAGAAGGACACCAGTCGCTGGATTTAGGGCTCACCCTGATCCAGTAAGACATTATCTTCCCTTGATTACATCTGTGAAGACCCAATTTCCAAACAAGGTCACACTCACAGGTACCAGCAGTTAGGACTCGACTATTTTTTTCAGGGAGTTGGGGGGGGGGGCACAATGCAATGGACTTCAGTTCCCATTGGCGGAAACTGCCAGAATAGCTTATCATAGGGATGGAAGCTTACCTGTGAAAAGGTCCTGGACGAAGTGAACAATATCAGGAATGCAGGGAGATAACAGCAAAACAACAACAACAACAAAACCCACTTCCAGGTTGCCAGGCCTCTCTTCTGAGGCACCTCTGGGTGGCTTGAAACTGCCAACCTTTCCGTTAGGAGTCAAGCACTTAACCATTTGCAGCACCCAGGGACTCCACTAGGGTCCGCCGTATTATCAGGAGAGCTGTTTGAACAATGGAATAGCATGCATTGTCAAAGGATCAACTTTAATTTCATGAAAATCAATCTGGAAGCTGGATATAGGAGAGATTATAAGGAGGTAGGACCCCTGGTGGCACAGTGGTTAAAGCACTCGGCTGCTAACCCAAATGTCGGTGGTTAGGTTAGAACCCACCAGCCGCTCCTGGGGAGAAAGAGCTGGCAGTCTGCTCCCTAAAGGTTACAGCCTTGGAAACCCGATGGGGCAGTTTACGCTATCCTACAGCGTCGCTATGAGTCGGAATAGACTCTGCGGCAGTGGGTTATATCAGGAGGTAGAGCTAGAAAGATCCTTTAAAAGGATGCCTCAGTAGTTCCAAGCGGAGGGGAGATGCACAGAACTAGATTGTAAGCCCCAAGGGCTGGTAATTTTGCCTCTTCTGTTCAGTAATGGGTCCCGAGAGCCTAGAACAGCGTCTCTCACGTAGTAGCTGAGTACACATGAATGGACGCTGGAACTCGGCTTGCGGCAGCAGGAATGGAGAGGGAAAAAAAAAAATGCAACAGGCCTTTCACAGGTAGATGGATCCAGCTGGCTCCCCAAAGCATGGTGGTGAAGAAGTCGCATCAGCCGAGCCTCCCTTAGAGTCACGCCCATACCTTGGCATCCGGTGGAGACAGCGCGAACCTCTCTCGTACCACCTGCCCACGCTGTCTGGCGTTATGTGTCTCCACGACATTTCCAGCATCTGCCTCCAGCGTACAGGATTCATCACTTTATTCATGTGTATGTCCTCCACAGCAACCTGCACACAGTGGGCCCTCAATCCAAGTTTCAGTGAATGAATTTATCAACAAATGAATTTCCGCATTAAAGCAAAACTGAGATTCTCCAGCCCTCACCTCTGCATTCCAGACGTCTTTTGTGCTTTTCAAAACGCCTGACACATAGCAAGCGCTCAGTAAGCACTTGTTGAACCAAACAGAATAAATCAGATACACCAGTTCCGCCCTGGCAGCAGGGACTCGACTTGGCAGGACTCCAGAATCCACTGCTATTAAATTCTTATGTAAGAGTTAATGACCCTCCCAGCCCTCTTGACATCCCTCCCACGACAAGAGAAGGGGAAGGGAGACGAGGGGAAGCGAGATCACGTTTTACAAACGCACAATCTTTCGGTGGTAGATTCACAGATTAATGTCTAGTCTCGGTTCACCCCAACGATCTTAAAATTCCGCCGCACGCTCCGAGCGCGGCCGAGGGGGGCGGCGCGCCGGTATTTCGGTTGAGGATTTAATTCCGTGGGTAGGGCCTGCCCACCTGGCACGGCGTGTCTGCGTCCTCCATACCGCCCAAGGGCGCCGGGCCTGCGGATGACGGCGGCGCCCGTGGGGTCCCCACAGGCGCTGGTGCAGGCTTGGCCCGGGCGCCCCCCACCCGGGGACACAATGCCTCCCGCCCCGGATTCCAGCTGCCCCTGAGCCCCGCGCCGCTCGCCCTTCCCACCCGGCCGCCCCGCCGCGCTCCGGGTCTCCCCTGTCCCGCT